ACTGTTTATCTTTCCCCACTGGCTGATCCTGCTGGGTTATCTTCACCTCGTTGACTTTGGCCTTCACCTCCTTCCCTGTTCGGGGAGCCATAATGCTTAAGATGCCATCATGGGACAACGTGGCTCTCACCAGCAAGGGGTCGACATCCAGAGGGAGGATGTAGGTCCTGGTGAACTCTCGGGAGATGAAGCCATGGCGGTCAGCCTTCTGCGGGTGCTGCCCCATCACCTCCAGCAGGTTGTCTATGGTGCGGACAGTGAGCTCATCCGGCAGGAAGTGACAGACATCCAGGAACACCTGGAATTTGTGCTCATTGAGGCTGATCTCAGAAGTGCCTCGGTCCAGCTGCTTATTGATCCGAGGCCTGATGTAGTAGCCATGGTACAGGGCAGGGGCTAAAATCTCACATGGGGACACACCTGAAAATGAGACTTAGTGAGGAGTGTGGGCTTTCCAGGGGAAGGAGTTGGAGAAGGATGGTTGGTGGCAGACAGGGGAGGGTGACAGGAGAAACACCTTGGGTTTGTCACCATATCAGCACGATATGGACGGAGTCTCTTGCAGCCCCTACCTTTGTGTCTCTAAAACACATGAAGAGCCAGATGCCTGCCAGCCACTGCTTCCCACTACGCAGCCAGCAGCTGCCAGCAAGCCAAGGGTTGGCACTCAAGTTTTGCATGCCTGCTGGGTGGACAGGGAGAGAGTGGTAGGTGCACTGGGCACTCTGCAGTGCAATGTCCACAGCCAGAAATGGGCATGGAAAATGCTGATGGTGAAGAAACTGCCCTGAAGAACTAAAGGCCTTTTGTGTGCCATTGTCCAGAGGGCTTTCCTTGGAGCTTTTTGCCTTTTCACGCTGTTGTGCTGGTACTGAATGGTTCTGCTGCTGCCCACATTCCTTCCCCTCCACCAGGCACTGCCCGGCTTTGTGCTGAACACCACAGCTCAGCTTTTCTCCACAGCCCCCGGCTGCAAAAACTCCCCCCGCCCAGAGCAATGCTCCATGTTTGCACAGAATATGCATGAATGCCAGACCACTGGGGGTACAAGGCAGGGGCAGGAGAGACAGCAGTAGGCATGGATGGAGGAAATAGACCTGATGAGAGAGACCCTGCTATTCCTTAGATATTCTCCCTGATCAGGTATAAATTCTTACGCTTAGAATTCCTTGGCTCAAGCTTCCCTAGCCTGCTCTTGAGCTCAGTCTCCCCAGGGGGACTCCACCAGCCCTCCTACCCCAGAGGAGAGAAAGGTGCTGAGAGAATCCCATCTCCTTCTTACCTTCTCCAAAGTTCTGGTCATAGATCTTGCTAGGGTTGGCAAACTCGTACTCGGAACTCATGGGGTAGGCGTGGGGGACAGTCCGTGCAGCCATGGTGTGTCTGAGAAAGGGACCTTCCAAGCACCCACTGCCTCTGAGAGTGAAGGCTGCAGACTGCAAGGTTTTAATTGGACGAATTCCACAGGGAGGAGTGTGTGTTAAAAAGATGGACCAAAATAGCCACACGCACAGGCCCCAGGATGCCTCGCCAGGGTGACGAGGGAAGCTTCTCACTGCATTCCAGCAGGGAGTGCAGGCACTGCCTGCAGTGAGGGATGTCTTGGGAAAATCCTGCGCCTCCTCGCAGGGTCTGAGATCCCCTCCTTGAGCAGTGGGTGCAGGAGGCAAATGGACAGCCAAGTATGGCAGGAACGCACGGAGATGAGCTGAGGGAGGATGAAATAGGAGAAGGCAGGACAGACCTCAGGCTCTTCTGCCTGGGAGGCTCCCAAAACCAAGGGCCAGCAAGAAAGCTCCTTGGAAGTATGTTCAAGAAGTCCCTGACGCTGGTCCTGCTGGCCCTGAAGTACCCCATGGAGACGGCACAGTAGCTAATGCTGGCTGGTGATTGATCAGGTTGTGCAAAGTCATGTGAAGTCGCTGACACCATTCCCATGATTTAGGTTCACAGACGAGGCAGGAGCTAAAATAAATGTGTGAAATAAGGATTATTAGGAGAATAATTATAGGAAATTAGCTTACTGCAGGGACACAGGCAGACAGAGGTAGCTTGCATCCCTGAGAAGGCATGTCAGTGCAGCACCATGGAGGCTATTGGCATGCCTGGTTTACCTCTGCTCACAGCCCCCTGGAGTACTCTGAGGTCACAGAGTGTCGGGCTATTCTGCTTTCTCCAGCAAAGTGGCTTCTGTAGTGGGAAAAAAATGAGAGGTGTGCAGCTGAAGCACTGTGGAGAAAGCCATCCTTCATTCGCACACACGTGCCAATGGATGTACATGAAGGCAGCAGGGCTTACTGGGCTGCAGAGAGCCATGCTACCAGGGGTATCTGAGCAAAGACCTCCTGGGATCTTTCCTTCCCTTTGATTCATGCAGGCCTGTGGCTTCCTTAGCCTTAAGGAGAGGCAGAGACCTTCCTAGGCTGATGGGCGTTGTGGGGAGCTGAAGTGTCAGTGCTGGCAGTGCATACAACGGCCCCTTGTGAGCCAAAATAGGAGCTGTGAGCCAAAATAGGAGCTGCATTGATCCTGCTGGCATTCAAAGCAGCTGGGAACATCCGCCAAGCCTGCCTGGGACTCTACGGATAAACAGCACGTGGGGAGCAGGGCAGGCGGCTGGGCAGTTTGGCTTCTTGCTGCACCATTAGGCTCCTTTTCTTCTTCTCCCCTTCCCCCTCCTCCTCAGCAGTGTGTTCAAATCCCCCAGACAGCTACTGGGCACTGCTGAAGGGACCAGCCCAGGAGTGGGACAATAAAATCCCTGACACCACTGTTCAAGAGGCCTCGGCGGGGGGGGTAGGGGGGAAGGCCAGGCCAGCTGCATGGGTATAAATCTGTCCCGCGCTCCTGGCACAGCAGTGCAGCACAGTTGTTTGCCAGGCTCCTCCAGCGCACTCCAATGGATATCACCATTCATAACCCCCTGATCCGCAGACCCCTGTTATCTTGGTTGGCACCGAGTCGTATCTTTGATCAGATTTTCGGAGAACACCTGCAGGAGTCAGAGCTGCTCCCTGTTTCCCCCAGCCTCAGTCCCTTCCTGATGAGATCCCCCATTCTTCGGATGCCCAGTTGGCTAGAGGCAGGACTCTCTGAGGTAATCTTCCCTTCTTAATGCTCTTTGTTATTGCTGTGTGTGCACCCTGATCGGTCTGGAGCTGGAGACCCACGAGAGCCGAGAGCTTGGAAGCTGCTTATAGGCGGTTGTTAGGAAAGGATTGGGGAAAAGGGTGCTGTGTTTGTGCCTCTTCTCCTCTGCACTAGGCAAGAACCTCTGCATGCTCTGCTAATAATTTGTGAGTGAGATCAAGTATCAGCATAGTGTTGGGAATAGCGGCAAACTGACCTGATGGTATGCGGCAAATGACTGGAAGAGCTGACAGAAGAAAGGAGGAAGCCTAATTTCCTTGTCTGCTCTGCAAAACTTCAAATTCTGCTCCCTCCTGAGAAGCAAACAGCACAGGTGTAGTGAGCAGGGGTAGTGGGATCCTCATGCCAGGCAGTGTGGGAGCTCATGCTTGCTGAGGAAAAAAGGGCCTATTTTAATGAATCACTGCTGAGAGGAGCAGCATTTTAAGTAAGATATAGGACCCAAATGATCACGAACAGCCATATGCTTGCTTCAGAGGCTGAGCCAAGAGGCACATAGTTCAACCATCCTTGCCTCTTCTGAGAGTCAACTGTTTTATTTACAAGCAACTTGTAGAGCTATTCTAAGCCAAAGAAGTGAGAGGAAAGTATTTTCTAAGTCTTTTCATAATGTATCCCTCGATTTAGTGACCTGGGTCTGGCTGTCCACTGAAGAAGCTATAATAAGCGCCACAGACAACGTCATTTGACTATCTCAGCGGGGAAATCTTCGCAAATAATCTGAAAGGAGGAGGAAGCACTTAGGCTCCCAGGTCAAATTGCAGAAACCAGTAGGCTTAGAGCTGGCACAGAGGCTGCCTCCACCATCCAACG